TCTGACTGCCTCACAATAATGTCTTCATTCTCACAACAACGATTTGAGGTAGGGAAGTGCTGTTATCCCCATTTTACAGATAGCGAACTGAGGTGCACAGACTGAGCAGCTTGTCCAACATCACACAGGAAATCTGTGGCAGAGCAAGAGCATCAAACTCAGGTCTCTGATGTCCCAGCCTAACATCTTAACCACTGGTCCATTCTTCTTCTGACAGAACAAGAAGCAATGGTCTCAAGTTGCAGTGGGGGAGGTCTAGGTTGGATATTCGGAAACACTATTTCACTAGGAGGGTGGTGAAGCACTGGAATGGGTTACCTAGGGAGGTGGTGGAATCTCCATCCTTAGAGGTTTTCAAGGACCAGCTTGACAAAGCCTTGGCTGGGATGATTTAGTTGGTGGTGTTCCTGTTTGAGAAGGGGATTGGACTAGATGACCTCCTGAGGTCTCTTCCAACCCTAATATTCCATGATTCTTCCGTATACGTGTGATGAGAATGGACATCTGATTTCAGTAACTATAGCTGTCTTTCCGGCACCTTTCATAACAACTGAAATTAATTTAATCTTTAAAATGAAGAAAGGATAATTACAAGACTTAATTGGTTAATGATGCTTTCTTGACAGCCACTCCACCATAGCTGTGAGACGCTCTTACCCGTACAGCTCTGAGTGACTTGATATTTATTCCTTTCACTGAGATTCCATTGTCTGGGTACAATGCTTCCTTGAATACTTTATTTGCTTAATATTGCTCTTTCACAATCAGGTAAGTTCTAAATTATATTATAACTATATTTTATCATCCACCACTTTGAGAAGTTTGGCTTGAAGGCTCTCCATAAGTAAATGATGGGTGAATCCACATACCATCCTCTAAAGTAGTTAGACTGAATTGGGTTGAAATAGTTTATTGTAGCTGTACTTGAAATATGACTTGGGAGAGAGGGTAGGATGCAGTAATCACTACTTGGGAGAGATGGTATTATGTAGTTCTATGACAAGCTGTCTCACTCATCCTAATGAGCATCTAGATAAATATTACCTTTTAAATAGATTATTATTTGTATTTAGGTAGAGGTAAAGGCCCCAACTGAGACTGGATCCCCAGGTGCTATGCACTCTGAAAGAACATAATATGAAACACTCCTAATCACCAAAAGTTTACAATCTAAGTAGACAAGACAGAAAGTGCTGTGAAAAGTACTGACTGTTAACCTCATAAGCTATGTTGCTAATGATATAAAAAATACTAAAGAATATTTTCCAGTTTAATGAAAACAAATTGCATAATGGAATTTGCTTCTCAGCTCTCACTTGGTGTCACAGGAAGAAAAGGCATCTGAGTTGGATACTTGCTTATCTGTGAGTTGTTTATTTAAAGAGGTGCTCAGTGAAAGAAAGGAACCAGTTCTCAGGCTGGGGCTTGGAGCCCAGGCAGTTAGGGATGCCACGGTCGCAGGGCTAGCTGCATCTCTGACAGAGCCGGCGCTAGACATAAGCAGACTATTGCTTAGGGCCCGAAGCAGCTCAAAGGCCCCCCCATTCACTTTTTTAGTATGTAGGAGGGGGGCGGAATATTCCTCCTGAGGGTCCCCAGTGGGGTAGCACTGGCTTTGACCCCATCTATAGGCTCTGGTGCACTCCCTCAGGTCTCACACCTTCACCTCTCAGGGTGGAATCCCACAATTCTCTCACACTCAGACTGCACCCTAAGCTACAGTACCCTGTGTATCAACTGTTCTTACCCTTCAGGCCTGACTGCGTTCAATATCTGCAAGTCTTCCCTTTGGGAATCCGTGACCGGTGCATTACTGTGACCCAAAGCAGCCTTCTTAAAACAAAAGTATTGTTTATTTAACTAAAGTAACAGAGCACAGCAGAAGAAAAAAGGATTTTAAAACAAAAGGTTTGCTGTCAGAGGAGAGCTCGCCCATTTACATGAAGCAGGTCCAACTCCCCTGGGCTAGAACAGGTGTCCCAGTTTGGCCAGTTAAGAGGACAGGGCAGCACCTGAGGCTATAAAGAGCCAGGCAGTCAATAAGGAAGGGGCAGCAGCAGCAGCAGCAGGGAGTTCCTAGGGAGAGGTGGCTAGAGGTCCCTGGGAGGGGGAGGCAGTGGAAAGCTGCTGTGGGGAATGGGCCTGCAGGGAGAAAGCCCTATGAAGTGGTGCTCACTGAAAAGGGCAAGAAAGAATCATTCAGTAGGCCCTGATGCAGGAGGGACTGAGGAAAGCAAAAAGGGGAGAATCCTCTGGGAGCTATAGCCCAGGGTGGGCTGAGGGACTGTTGATGTGCCTTGCCCATGTTTGGAAAATAAAATTGTGCCTGGAAAGAGACTCTGAGTGTGGCAGTGGGTCCTTTATTGGCTGGGTACAAACCGGCTCCATACATCTACACACACCTCTGTTTTACCTATATTCTAATCATCCTCCAGAGAGGGACCCCCAGTAGGCCTAGCTTCCCTCCAGATTCCCACAGCAGGCTCTGTGGTCTCCTTAGCCCCAAACCCTGTGTGACTCCTGGAGGGAGTGTGTCTCTCTCTTTAAACCCTCCTGCACCTTTTTACTGCCTCCCCACAAGGACCAAGTCAAACCAGGGGAAACTAGTCTGGCAGGCCCAGCAGAGGGCTGAGCCAGGGCATCAAAAAGTGAATGGTTCTTGCATTCTCTCGCAGGTTGCTTGCTGAGGAGAGTCTATAAGGATCTACTACAGCTCTCTCTTCCGGGGCACATTTCCTAGCAATCCTGCTGTTGAATTAACTCAATAGAGGCATATGGTAAGCACCACAAGAACCCAGTTACAGTATCTGTATACCATTACAGGGCCCTCCAAAGCCATCACAAGGGGACCTGCAACCTTACTGCCTCTGTTCTGTATCCCTGAGAACAGAGCTTCAAAGGTACATCTACACTTCCAGCTTGAGCAGACATACCCGGGGTAGCTCCGATTGAGCTAAAGCTCTCAAAACAGCGGTGTAGCCATGGTGGTACAAGGAGCAGGAGGGTCTAGCCATCCAAGGAGGATCCTGTCTGAAATTCTCAGTACATATTTGGGTAGCTAGCCCCTCCTGCAGCTGTGGCTACATTTCTACTTTTAGCATGTTAGCTCAATCAGCGCTAGCGTGCATACGCCTACTTGAGCTGGGAATTGCACCTCCAAGCTCCAATGTAGACAGACCCTTAGAGCAGCCAGGCTAGCTCACTGTTACCCTCTGTGGGGTGTCTGGAATCCTAGCAGGAGCAGGGAGTGTCCAGCAGAGACTGACCTTGCCTGGATTGAACTTGCTTTCACCACCGCCTGGGTACGTTAAACCCACATGGAGATTACAATGCAAAGTGAAGGTGCAATGAAGATTCCAATTGCCAAATGGCATTCTCAAAAGAAAACGGAGTTCGTAGTTTGACCCAGACATCCCCACGGTCTGTAACTGTCACAGATTTCTCTGAGGTACTCCTTCTCCCACCCCTTCCATGCTTACTGTCCATATTTGGCTATTATTAGAGCAAGTTTCATCCCATCCATCCCTCACAGTGGAGAGAAGGCTGTGGTCTCATAGCTTCTGTTTGAAATAAGCATGACATTTCCAAACATTATTATGTATATAAAGAGCAGAATGTCCCTAACACTGTTTCAGCTTTCTCCCTGACTTCACTTGGCAGTATACCACTGAGATATGTTTAAATTTCAGACATTATGGTTGTGAAACAGAACAAGTAGAACCCTGGGCTGTTTATCAAAGGAAAAATTCTGTCCATCGCTACATAAATGTTGCTCACATTGACTTCAATAGGAACTGCACATGAGTACCCATGAGCTGACTATCGTCCTAAAGTGTTGTTATAAAACACTTTGACAATTTAATCGTTTATATTCATCAAAACATGATAATTTCATCACAAATTCAGATACATCAACTTGAAACAGGTCCTGTAATGGAATGGTAGAAAAATCACTGGGTAAGCAACGGTAAGCCAAAATGTCTAGACACATAAAAGTAATAAGAAATTGATCAAACTACAAACACAACAGACGTAAAATAAATTAAAATAGCCCAAATGATTTTTTAGAAAACTGGACAGGAACAAAAAATATGCTGAGTAAAACAAAGCAAGCATTACTCATTGGTTCAATTAGAAAGTAAAGGGGCACTTTTGTTCCAGATACAGTTTTTATTCTTATCAAAGATGAATACAAAGTTATTTTCTTATAAAACTTATTATTTTGGTATCTATTGTAAGTACAGCTATGTTACCTAATGTGCTTATTAATCTGATCTTTCCTATCTACCTTTTAAAAAATTATAGCAGATGCTAGTCCAGGAAGGGTCTAACAAGGTTTTTTTAGGTGCTTTAGCCTGGTTTACACACTGACCCTAGAAATCCTGTTTAGCCTGTGCTAGCAGAACACATTTTTAAAACAATATTGGGTCATATTCTCAAATACAAATCATCTTCCATTGATTTCACTTCAGCTGAGCACAACTTCCGAGTCCTGTCTTTGCTCATTTCCCTTCACTCACTCAACCAACCCTCCAACTCAACTGTTGTCTTTGCCAGTGATATCATTTCCTACCTAGATGAAAATCCTGGAGGATTAGGAATAGCTGCATAGATACCAAGTTTAGATGGTAAAACTGGGGCGAATGCAGCCAAAAATCAGCTGAATTCAGCAGGATACAGGTGCCAAATCAAAGTTTCCAGGATGGGTCCAGGTCCAGTTTTCGGTTTGTTTTGTTTAATTAGTAAAAGCAACACTTGTTCTCATTTTGATAGTTCAATTTACAATGTCCCGGTTTATGATCCAAATTTGGCAGGATCTGGCAGGCTCCAGATGCCAGGTCCGGGTTCTTGTGGTACTGCTGTGTGGAGGGGGTCCGGGTTTTTAAGAGGCAGTAGGGATGGCTAGAGACACAGTCTGTGGCTTAGGCACGCCAATTTGGGGGAGGGAGGTCAGCATCTAGCGGGACCCAGGTAATGCATTTGTGTCCAGATCACGTAGCTGGAATAAGAGTGGCTAAACTCGTTCCCCGTTGAAGCAGTGGATTTGGGGAGAGGGGAGCCCCAAAGTGGTCAGGATCCAGCTGCCACTCAACCATGGGTTTGCGTAGGGGGACTGGAGTTGGTGGGGGCACCCCTGGGCTGTTACTGACTTAAGCAATGGAATTTGGGGGGCTGGGGCAGGGCCTGGGAGGACCCTGCTTTTATCTCCCCCTCCAACCAAAAATCTCCCTCGCTGTCTGCGCTGCTCAAAGATTGAAGCGGGAGCTTTGCATTCCCTGCCCCCGGGCGGCTCCGCTCTGTGCAGGCACCGGCGATGAAAGCGGGACTGGCCTTGCCGCTCTCCTCCCACCCGTACTGAATGCAAGCGGTGCCCCCTAGCGTCCATGGTGGGACTGGCAGCAGCTGGTCCAGGCTTCCCCGGCAGAGTTTTCCTGGCAGCCTGAGCAGCGAGAGAGACGTCAGACCAGCAGCTCCCCAGCTCGCTGTCTCCTCTCCTCTCTGGCACTCACATACCTGCGCTACCTCTCCCTTTCCTCCTCCTGCTTCTTTGCCTTTCCGCGCCCACCCATCCCCTCTGTCCCCCTCCCGCCTTGGCAGCTGCCTCCCTTCTCAGACAGGGAGTGGGAGCGGGGTACACGGTGTGTCCCGGACCCCTTGCTCCTTCCCAAGGGGATGTAAAAGGCTTCCAGAAACCTGACTCGCCGGAGGAAGCTCTCTCCGCGGCTGGGCTGGAGCTGCGGCTGCTGCGGCATGCCCTGCTCCGGGGGCTGCTGCAGAATTAGGAGACCCTGGGAGGTTCTGCGCGGGGGGATCTGCCTTTGAGAGACTTGAGCTGAAATCAGCAAAGAGAGGACATGGCACTTTAGCAGCAAAGCAGCCCGGGGCGTTGTGATGAAAGCAGCGCGGCTCAAGCCAGCGGGACCCTTGACGAGCCTGGGCTTTTCCAAGGTGAGTAACACGCGGTGTGGGCAGCGTCAAGCAGGTTACTGTGACAAGCCCGTGGCTTCAACAGTGGCTACAGCCCGGTGTAGTCAGGCCGTGTTCGTGGGTGCGCGCTGGCTGTCCGGGGAGCCTTCAGCATAAGACATTTCACTTGCTCCAAAGTTCCTTTTGTTCTTCGCCTTAGGCTTTGATTGGTGAGGCGGGATTGGGGGATTTAGTGTGGCACCTAGAACTCAACCGAGCAAATGCCACTGAAAGTGCGAAAGCTTCTCAGTGGCAGGGAGGGAAGCTCCATGAGCTGACAGGTGTTGTCTGTTCCCACCTCGAAAGTCAGAGGCCCCGTGAGATGGGAGGCGCGAGGAGACGGCACTTCGCTAACGCTGAACTGGTAACACCCGTAGCCAAAAAGAGTCGGATCACTCCAAGTCAAGGGTGACACTGAGGTCCTCTTAACCGAGTCACCCAGCCATGAAGCAGTGCAATGTCATGTCAGTTTTACCTTGCAAGAACACGCAAGGGCACATGGGTTAAGGACGGTTTGTCAGCCTCAGGTAATTACCCTGGAACAGCGCCACTATCACCTTGCTTCATTTTGAGAGGATTTTGACAGGATTGGTTGAATATAAGGTTGTTAGAAGTTATGAAAATAATGTGCTGGATCTGTATTTACAAAGAGAACATCCCATAACTATATCTGAATAATAAACTAGCACCTGCATTTCTTATACTGTACTCATACTATATATTTATCTGATAGAGTTGATGCATAGGATTTCAGAGACAACAGAGACACTTGTATTTGGAATGGGCACAAAACCAGACAATAGCTAAAATTAATATAAGGTGGAAAGAGACAGAAAATACTGCAAAATTGAATTTTGCTCCAAGAGGTATAAATGGCTTTGTTTATTATTCTCACCAAGGGGTCAGGAAAGAAACGCCAGGAGAGGATAATAATGGCATAGCTAATGGCCGCACCTTTGAAACCACTGTGAAATTCTCTAGCTTTGCATCCATTCAGCTGCTGCAAAAATACTTCTTTGGCCACAAACCATAGGGGGCAAACTATGAGTCCATTGTTAGCCAGCAGGCTGCATTGCAATTTCCTTTGAGCAGTTTTTATTCCATTTTGTTTTAAAGTGGTGGCTTGCCTATTCTTATACCTAGATGATGTGATTATTCGATTTGAAAAATAAGTGACAGTTTTCCTTTAATTGCACATCCCTACTAGCACTGGGACCTAGACAACAAAAGTGAAATAGCTGAATGATGTGCACCAGGTGAAAATACTGATACCATTGCTCTAAGTACTTTATGAACCATATCATCCACTTGAGCCATGAAGGAATACGAAGATGAAGAATGACATGCAAAAATGATCCAAAATCTGTTAAGTCCGAAGGCCCAAAATGAGCATCATCCCCCACTTCCTCAGACACTGTGGGGATCATTTCCTGGTAGCACAGAATGGGGCAGAGGGGAATCTGTGGATTTAGCAGGACATAGATGTATAGGGCAGAGTCTGGACTGGCGACAAATTTGTTTTACATTCAGTATTGCCAATCCTGTATTCACAAATCATGAGTCAGGCTCCAAAAGTCATGAGTTTTTTTAAAGGTAGTACATTTTGGTTTCTTTTTATTTGCCTTCTGGTTTTTGAGCCCTTAAGGTTCACATTTTCAATCTTTTCTGACACTTTTAAAAAAGAAAGCTGAGATTATCATGTAGTCACATGACTCCAGGAGCTGGGGCTTTAAGAAAAACACCAAGTTTCACAAGAATCATAAGAACTGGCAACACTATACATCATCCTATGACAAATCCACAGGGAAATACTTCATGCCTCAACGTGTATTTTAAGTATATGCTTAACATTAAGCACATGCTTAAGTCCCATTGACTTCAATAGGTCTGCTCACATGCCTGAAGTTGAGCATACACATAAGGGCTTTGCCTAACCAGGGCCTGAATCCTAATCCTATAAGCATTAGTTCCTACTTCACCCATTCAGAAGCTCTGAAAAGACAAACTAAAGACCAGGCACACATGGGACAGTATTGCCAGCCTGGCTACAGATGGAGCAGTACTGTCAGAGATCCTAGGAACTGGCATGAAGCAGCAAGCCATCAACATAGATACTGTGGATTTTCCTTGCAGATCTTAGGACACATGAGGGTATGGAGGACCATGCTCCTGACCACTCCCTGGGGAGGAAAACATTATCTCCATCCCCACTACTATATGATTTCTTGCTGCCAACAAGTAAAGCCAGTAAATTGTCTCCTGCATGATCTATCCCAGTAGATCTCTTATTTTGTAAAATTAATCTTCAAAATAGACATACAAATACCAGCCATAAATTAATGTCAACAATCTAAATATCTGACAGTTAATTTTAAAGGGACACTATCAAAACTGACCGGTCCAAAATGTAACATTCATTTCTAAATCTCCTGATTCTGAAAAGAAAGCTATAAGCCCCTCTAAAATTAAAATTGGAACATTATTACACTGGCTTCTTTTTTCACCACTCATGAACAATATATCTGGGATCCAGAATACATCTGTGATTCCTTCCAAGTTTCACCCCACTTTTCCCCAGATGCTCCATTTTGGGGAGCTGACAAGATATTAAAAATCAGAAATGCTGCAGACTGAAACAAAAAAAAATCTAATTTAAAGCATTTCACATAGAGTTAAAAAAATCCAAGTTAGAAATAAAAGCAGTTCAGCCATATAGAAATGTCATCTGTATAAAAATATTCTTCTTTTTCTTGGAAATGGTCAAGATACTCACTGAGACAAATTCACTATTAGCCTTAGTGTGTGCAACATTTTCACTCAGTGACCTCATCTTCTTAGTGTCTGTAAGTGTCACACACACATTTGGGTACTTGTAACAGGATGGTCTTCTGCTGTCCCACCCTGTTAACACGTGCCAGAAGAAACCTGCATAAAGCTGCTGAAATGTTGATGACTGACTCATTGTGGCAAGCACAGCTCCATCCTCTCATGGAGGAGAAGGGGAAGTACCAGATGGAAATCCTAGGGCCAGCCAGGCTCAGGGAGGAGGTTTAGGCTGAGGTTTATATTGTGTTATTGTTTTTGCATTCCTGATGAAGCCAAAATCCAGGAAGGGAGCAAGTTCAGACACTGATTCAGGGGAAAGAACAGGGATTCAGTCCATTCACAGCAGTATATTAATAACAAGAAATATTTTTATTATGCCAAGAGTGAATTTGGCCAACTATGTCCCTCTTACCCACTTCACAGCTGCCATATGTGATTTTGGGTTTGCTCCTGCATGCTTGTGCACTCAGAATGTCCACTGGAGCCAATAGGTTTTTTGGCAGCTCTAAAAATACTGGCGTGAACTATTAGTGTATGTTTAAAGGCAGCTCTAAGAATGCTAGATTGAATTATTTATGTATCACTGGAAGAGGACTAATCTATAGCTAATATATCTTCCCTAACAGCTTTACTAACGTGGCTATTTGTAGAGATCTACTGGTAAGATTATTAACTTGGCTTTTTTAATATATTGTACATCTTTTCATATAATTTGGGGAGTTCAGATGCATTTGGGCCCAAGCTCTTTCAGGTCTATTCAGATTTCAAGATCTTGTTGCACACACTTTCATGGACAAGCTCATTTTCCCTAGATTGCAAAGATCTGATACAACCTACATGCCCTGACAATTAATATACCAATAGCCATCCCTCACGTGCACCTCCACTGACGTGGTATGGTTTAGACCAGGTGAAGTCAATCGTGCCTTTCCTTGTCCTACATCTGTGAGCATGGAGGGCCACAACCACTTCTTGTTCCACTGAGCAACATGATGTTGGGATCCAATACAGGGAGCCCACAACCCCGCTTTTTCACAGAGTGCCGGGGGGTTGCATGTGCTCCAGCTTATAGGGAACTAGAAAGGAAGGTAAGTGGAGGAAGAAGGAGGGGCCAGCACATCTGTGATTATGTGGCCTTGGAGTTTATACTCTATTGTAAAGAAAGCTTAAAAAGAGAGTTTAAAATGCGTTTGTGTTATCTCATTTTTTTAACATGCAGTGCAGCTTCATTTTACCTGTTCCCCTGTGGTTTCTAGTGAAATGCATGTTCTAACCAGCTATTTCATAGGAGATTAAGTGCCAAGATAAAATAGTCCCACCAGAGTTAGACTTGTAGCTGAGAGCCTTCTCAGCAGCACCATGCCAGGCAATGATTTTAATACAAAGGTGGCATTTACAGTAATAGAATTTCCATAATTTCACATCTGAGCTTTTGTTTTGCAGCTAGGCACCCAATGGGCATTATACTAGGAAAACCAAAGGATATTGTAGGTATCACCTTAAAACCATTATATATTGTGTGCATGTGATGTCTGTTCTTAAAGAAAGGCTGTGTATATTTAACCCCAAGCAGATGTTGCTACCAAAGCCTGTCTTCAGTCTATTATATGTGTTCTCTTGGAAAATGAATTTTACATTGATAAGTGCTACCTTCAATAAGCAAATCATGCAAGTAATTTTTATTTTGGGTATCTTGAGCAGATTGTGCATAAGCTGTCAGTGCAAGAAAAAGTCACGTTTTATGTATTGGCCTTTGAAGAACCTTACTAGCTAGTACAGCTATAGCAACAAGTTTTCATTCTCGGCTAGATACTAGATACTATCTTAAGTTATTGGTGAGGAGAAGAAAGTTTCTATGTACATTATGGCTATATATGTATCACAGGGTAAACTAATGCAGCATGAACTTTAAAGTGATCCTGAAAATGTATAGGCTCAAAGTTTCATTTACTTCGGAATTGCTATAGTCTGATAGGGAAAGGCCACTGGATTTTAGGAGTCAGTTGATTTCAGAAGAAATATGGGATATGCAAGGAATGCAGGATTGAATCCTAAATAGCTACGGCCAGATTCTCCTGGGATCCATGGGAGGCTCAGGCCATTAACCTGGAGGACCTGTATGCTGGCAGCCTCCTCTTTCCCCCAGCAGTGTAGTT